TAATGGAGGCAATGAAAAAAAAAAAGGTGGAGTCTCTGTAGAGCAATGAGATGAGATGAGAGTCATCACAATGCGTCAAAACAAGTGCAGAAAACTCGAGAGTAGACAAGATTGTAGTAATAAGATTATTATGTCCCTCGAACGAACCACTCAGTGCACTCACCCAATGATCCACCAATCCTTCCCGATACTCCGTCTACACCCGTTCCTACCTTACGGCAGTATCGGATGTAGACCCAAAGAGGTCGAACAATTACACCACAATCCTAATTATAGTCGCACACTACCTCCTACATCGCTAGGCAAAAGGAGAGGTACCGAAAAATGAGGCCTAAAGCTTCAAAGCGTGACAACTCCGCAGCCGGGGGGGTTGTGGAATGACTTCAAGATCTCGTGTTCGAAACCCAAGTCATCACTGTCAACCCCGTAGGGCCTATAAACTTCTATCTGCATAAGCCCCCGTCCAATATTACCCTGTCCCATGCCAACACCTAAAAAATCACTAAATTGTCCAAACCAAAAACAAATCAAAGATACCTATGACGACATCCTAAAACAAACAAAGGTGTGATCACAGCATCCACCTAATAACACACATGCAGCTGGTTTTGCAAATGAAATCCACTGTCGGTTACCAAATGCCTCGTTTGCGGACGGCAAAACGTTTCAGGACTCTCACAAAAAAATCATGCGGGAAATCCTTCAACATAAGCTCCCTCTGCAAGGTGAGAACCCGCTTGGGATAGCAGACCGTATAGTCGTATTACAATCTACACGATGTAAACTACTTCCAATGATCGTGCTCTTTTGGCGCTTGCAACCCCATGAGTGGAAGGACTTGCCATTCTTGATTACAAGTTTACCGCCAGCCCACACGCATTCCTCGTTCTTGCACCACTGCACACAGCAACACACTTCCTTTGGTGTCCGGAGCCAAAGGTTGCCCTTGTCGAGCAAAATGGTAGTACGAACATTGCCTTCATCAAGAATACATTCGAACAGTTTACAAAAGTTGACATCGATATGGTTATATGACACGCAACAAAATCGCACTGGTGTGAACCCACCCTGCTTGTTACTTCTCGTCCCGCGAGCCTGATTCCATTCCCGTTTTCTTTGCTTCGCCTTCCTGCCATTTCGCCTGACAGACTAGTTGTAACTGGTAGTGTTCAAGAAAGGACTCAACTAACGTATGTAATTTTCTTCTAGCATACATAGGTTATCTCCGACAATATATCAACCGGAATCAGCACGCAATTTCCAATCCCAAACGTACTCATCCAGCGCTGAAAGTGCGATTGAGTGCGCACTTTACAACTTGAAGCAGAGATATGTTCCCGCCATCTAATATTTACATCGTGCGTGGTTTTTCCGACATAGCTCAATTTACAGTACGGAGAGACAACAATATACAAACAACTGGTATATGTGTCCATTCAACGGGCAACGGGTTTTGTACAATGCCGTTGTACCCGTTGAACACCCCCGGGGTCCCCGTTGAATCCCTGTTGAACGGTATAACGGGTGCTTCCCGTTGAATTCCGATCAACGGGTCGAGCGCAATTGGGCTCGGACACGTGGAGGGACACGCGTGGAATAAAAAAAAAGTACAAAAACTACCCTCTCCGTGTGTGTGTTCATGTGTGTGTGTGTGTGTGTGTGTGTGTGTGTGTGTGTGCGTGTGT